TCATAACTCTGTTACTTTTACAATAGTAATGGAAAAGGATAGGTACATACAGCGGGGTAAGGTTTGTAATTGGGGGAAGGGTAATTACAATTCTGTTAGGCAAGAACTGGGTAACATAAATTGGGAACAGATGCAGTCAGGGAAGAGCACTATTGAAATGTGGAGATTGTTTAAGGAATGCATATTGCGTGCGCTCGATATGTTTGTCCCTAGCAGGCAGGGAAGATGCAGTCGTGTGAGGGAGCCTTGGTTCTCAAGAGAGGTCGAACGACTGGTTAAGAGGAAGAAGGATGCTTATGTAAGGTTTAGGAAACAAGGAACGGAAAAGGCTCTAGAGGGAAAAAAGTTATCCAGGAAGGAGCTGGAGAAAGAGCTTAGAAGAGCTATAAGGGGGCATGAGAAAACCTTGGCAGATAGGATCAAGGAAAACTCCAAGGCTTTTTACACATACATGAGGAATAAGAGAATGACCAGAGAAAGGGTAGGGCTGAACAAGGATTGTAAAGGGAATTTGTACACTGAGCCTAAAGAGATAGGAGAAGTCCTTAATGAATACTTTTCTTCGGTATTCACAACTGAGAGGGACCTAGTTGTAGAGGAGGACAGTATGAAACAGGCTGGTAGGCTAGAGAAGGTCGATGTTAGTAAGGAAGATGTGCTAGGAATTTTGAGGAAGTTGAAGATAGATAAGCCCCCTGGGCCTGATGGGATTTATCCAAGGATTCTATGGGAAGCGAGGGAAGAGATCGCAGGGCCTTTGGCGATGATCTTTTCGTCCTCACTGTCCACGGGAATAGTGCCGGAAGATTGGACAGAGGCAAACGTCATTCCCTTGTTCAAAAAAGGGAATAGGGATAACCCTGGAAATTACAGGCCAGTTAGTCTTACATCAGTGGTGGGCAAATTATTGGAAAGGGCTCTGAGAGATAGGATCACTTGGATAGGCAGAGTTTGATTCATGATAGTCAGCATGGATTTGTGAGGGGTAGATCATGCCTCACAAACCTTATTGAATTCTTTGAAGAGGTGACCAAACACGTGGATGAAGGTAGAGCAGTGGATGTGGTATACATGGATTTAAGTAACGCGTTTGATAAGGTTCCCCATGGTAGGCTCATGCAGAAGGTAAGGAGGCATGGGATAGGGGGAAATGTGGCAGATTGGATTCAGAATTGGCTGACCCTTAGAAGACAAAGTGTGGTAGTGGATGGAAAATATTCAACATGGTGCTCAGTTACGAGTGGTGTACCACAAGGATCTGTCCTGGGTCCTCTTCTACTTGTGATTTTTGTAAATGATTTGGATGAAGGAGTGGAAGGGTGGATTAGCAAGTTCGTGGACAGTGCGGAGGGCTGTTCTAGGTTACAAAGGGACATTGATAGGATGCAGAGCTGGGCTGAGAAGTGGCAGGTGGAGTTTAACCCTGAAAAGTGTGAGGTGATTCATTTTGGAAGGACAAACTTGAAAGCAGAATACAGGGTTAACGGAAAGATTCTTGGCAGTGTGGAGGAGCAGAGGGATCTTGGGGTTCATGTTCACAGTTCCCTGAAAGCTGCCACTCAGGTGGATAGAGCTGTTAAGAAGGCATATGGTGTGTTAGCTTTTATTAATAGAGGGATCGAGTTCAAGAGCCATGAAGTTATGCTCCAGCTATACAAAAGCCTGATTCGGCCACATCTGGAGTATTGTGTCCAGTTCTGGTCGCCTCATTACAGGAAAGATGAGAGGCGTTGGAAAAGGTACAGAGGAGATTTACCAGGATGTTGCCTGGAATGGAGGGAAGGTCTTACGAGGAAAGGTTGAGAGAGCTAGGCCTTTTCTCTTTTGAACGACAAAGGATGAGAGGTGACTTGATAGAAGTGTACAAAATGATCAGAGGTATAGATAGAGTGGACAGCCAGAGACTTTTTCCTAGGGTGGAGGTAGCTATTACAAGGGGGCATAGTTTTAAAGTGAGTGGAGGTAGATACAGGGGAGATGTCAGAGGTAGGTTCTTTACTCAGAGAGTGGTAGGGGCATGGAATGCATTGCTGGAGAGGGTAGTGGAGTCAGCCTCATTAGGGGCATTTAAGTGGCTATTAGATAGGCATATGGATGATAGTATAAGGTAGGGGTGGAGGTTAGATAGACCTTAGGATTAGGATAAAAGATCGGCACATCGTGGGCCGAAGGGCCTGTGCTGTGTTGTACTGTTCTATGTTCTAAATATTTACGCCCTGCTTACTGCTTCCACCTCCAGTTCACAGTCTCTCTCCTTTGCCATCTCTCTCAATCACTGCTTCTCTCCTGGTACACCACCGCCTCTCATTGCCCATCCTGTTCTCTGCCTGATCTTCTGACTTGCTGCCTCTCCCCTTCACTGCCTCCCTTCACTCGCCACCTTACCTGAACTCATTTGATGCTGAGAATCCTTGCAGTTATACTTTAATATCATCAGTGAAACTGCATCTTATTGTGTCTCAGAAACAAATATTTTCACCCAAAGTCATTAGAAACCACTCACTGGCTTGCTCCAAATCCACCAATCTCCTCAAATAAAGGCTCCTTTTTCTCACCAGCCATGCTTCCTGCTTCTCTCTATCTCTTAGTGCACTACCCTAACCCTAACCCTAAGGGTTGAGCTGCCAGTCAATTAACTGTTCATGTAGTCTGACTGGTTGCATCAAGTGAGATCAAGCACCAGTGGAAATCCAGCCATGAGTGGTGTCACACTTTCAAGGGGCATTATAGAGTTGTAGAGTCATAGAGCTGTACAGCAGAAAAACAGACCCTTCAGTCCAACTTGTCCAAGTTGACCAGATATTTTAGATTAATCTAGTCCCACTTGTCAGCATTTGCCCCAAATCACTCTAAACCCTTCCTATTCGTGTACCCATCCAGATGCCTTTTAAATGTTGTAGTTGTACCAGCCTCCACCACTGCCTCTGGTGGCTCATTCTATACACTCACCACCCTCTGCGTAAAAAAGTACCCCTTAGGTATGTTTTAAACATTTCCCCTCTCACCTTAAATCTATGCCCTCTAGTTTTGGCCTCCCCTACCCTGGAAAATGTACTCTATAGTCATTCTGGTGATTCATTCTCTCTTTGTTTTAAACTTGAGAATACAGTGCAAAAACCTCAGGACATCATTATTCACCTATCCGTCCCCTAATGATTTTATAAAGCCCGATAAGGTTACCCTTCACCCTTTGACACTCCACAGAAAACAACCCCAGCCTATTCAGCCTCTCCCTATAGCTCAAACACTCCAGTCCTGGCAACATCCTTGTAAATCCTTTCTGCACTCTTTCAAAACATCTTTCCTATAGCAGGAACACCAAAGGAAAAAAAAATTACTGGGAGTTGTGTACAGCCCACCAAACAGTAGTTGAGGTGGGGTGAAAATTGAGGATGGGGTGACAATCAGCTGGTCTGCTTTGTCCTGGATGGTGTCAAGCTTCTTGAGTATTGTTGGACCTACACTAATCCAAACAAGTGGGGAGTACTCAATCACAATTCTGACTTGTGCTTTGTACTGTGTGAAAAGGCATTGGAGAGCCAGGATGTGAGTTATTCACAGCAGAGTTCTTGGCCTCTGATCTGGTCTTGTAGCCAGTCCAGTTCTGTGGCTAGTCCAGTTCAGGATCTGGTCAACAGTAACCCCCAAGATGTTGATAATGTCGGATTTGGCTGTGATAATGTTGTCATCTAATATGGTCTGAAGGAATACCTGAGACCTAATGGAATGAGGGAACAGATGATGAATACATTAATTAAGGTTTAATTTGGTTTGAATTGATTCTTTAAATGTGGGTAGATCGTGATTAATGGGGTGTGACTTTTAGAAATTGTGGGCTAATTAAAATAAACCTTGCACTAAAAGGGTAGACTTGAATGCTATCTAAAAGTTACCTTCTTATATATATAATAGCAATTCCATTGAATGTCAAAGGGCAATGTCATAGTCATAGAGTCTTCGGCATAGAGTTGTTCCAGGACAGAAAGAGGGCCTTTGGCCCACCATGTCAGCACTGGTCATCAAACATCCATCTATTCTAATCTCATTTCTAGCAGTTAACTCATAGCCTTGTAAGCTTTGGCATTTCAAGTGCTTATCTAAAAAGTTCTTAAATGTCTTAAGGGTTCCTGACTGTACTATCCTTTCAGGCAGATAACCACAACACTCTGGATAACATAGTGTGAAGCTGGAGGAGCACAGCAGGCCAGGCAGTATCAGAGGTGCAGGAAAGTTGATGTTTGGAAAGGGTCCTGACCCAAAACGTCAGCTTTCCTGCTCCTCTGGTGCTGCCTGGCCTGCTGTGCTGTTACAGCTCCACACTGTGTTATCTCTGACTCCAGCATTCTTTCTATCTCTGATTGAGTCACAACCCTCTGGATGACTTTTTTTCCCACAGAACTCCTCTAAATCTCCTGCTCCATACCTTAAAACTGTGCCTGCTTGTTATTGACCCCTCAACTAGTGGTTAGATTCCCTGGAGATTGTCATTGCTTGGCACTTTTGTGGTGTAAATGTTACTTGCCACTTGCCCAACCTTGGATATTGTTCAGGTCTCGCCACATTTGGACATGGACTGCTTCACTATCTGAGGTGTCACAAATGGTGTTGAACATTATGCAATCATTAGCAAAGGTCCTCACTTCTCACCTTATGATGGGGATGACTGATGAAGCAGCTAAAGATGGCTGGGTGAGAGCACTTGAATTCCAAAGCTAGAGACAAGAGATCTACTCACTGAAACCCTGCTGGTATACTCAAGGCAATGAGGTGATTGCTGGGAGCTGCAGACTTTAGCTCCCTCTGTCAGAGAGTTAAGATCAACATAGGATATTTCTCTAATAACTAAAACAAGCGTGAGGGCCAGACAACAAAACCAACCTATAGCTACTCACTCTAGTGAGTTTTGATAGAAATAGGTTCTGCATTTAACATTGATGGTAAGACACACAAAGTTTACCAATGCTTAGAACATGTAGTAAATCAACTACAACTTAATCATGTTAAAGTGTTCCAAGAAACAATCTTTATTAGACAGCCAGGCAATAGTTTATTATCTATTTCTTCCTTCATCTCATTTCAATCCCTTTATTCAATGGTTCTTCATGAGATTTTCTTGCCAGCTTCTTGACCCTTAATAAAACAGAAATTGAAGTCAGTAAAAGTAGATTCAAGAATTCAAACAAAAGGGAATTCAACAAACTCATGTTTCCAAGATGGATCTTCCCATTTAGGGGAGCACCTCAAGTTCCCTTGTCAGGGAAAGATCAGAGGCCTGAGAGAGAGGAAACAACATCGAAACTCCAGGGGTCAGCACCAGATACACACCGCATCAAATCAAGGCAAAACTCAACACTGCCAGTTTGAATCCCTAAAATTTACTGAATTCCATTTTTGTAGATTGCACAGGATTTCAGCATGTTGTTTTTGGTTCACATGAGCCTCCCTCTGTTGTGTTAAGTCTCATGGTCAGTATGCCTTTAAGAGACATGCTGATGATAGCATTACTGTATCACTGTGAATTGAAGGTCTAAAGACCCATCTTAACTCAGGTCACTTGAAGCAGAACATTCAATTGGAAGCAAGCTCCTCATTGTAATATAATAGCTTAACATTAGCCTCGACACTTTGTGCCTGAGGAATGTGTTGTTTGGACATAATAGGTAGTGGTAATAAAGATCTCACGGATTCTTCAATACCATGATATCCATGCCCAGATTCTTATGTTGCAGAAGAGGACATAAGCATCGCCGCATCAAAGTCATACATCCTCTCTCACCAAACTCTCACCACCCGAAACCTATCTCATCTCACCATATTAGCATATCCTTCCATTTGTTTCTCTTTTGTGTCTTTATCTAAATCCCCTTAAATATAGCTACATTAATCACCTCAACCAATTCTTTCGAAATTGAATAAACACTGAAGGAACTGCGGATGTTGTAAATCAGGAAGAAAAACAAAATTGCTGGAAAAGCTCAGCAAGTCTGGCAGCATCTGCGAAGGAAAAAACAGAGTTAATGTTTCCTGATTTTGAACTGGTTCAGGACGAACTGATTCTGAGGAAGGGTCACCGGACCCAAAACGTTAACTCTGTTTTTTCCTTCACAGATGCTGCCAGACCTGCTGAGCTTTTCTAGCAACTTTGTTTTTCTTCCGATATTGAGTTCCACATTCTAACCACTCTGTAGGTAAAGACATTCTTCCTGAATTCTCTGTTGGGTTTATTAGTATCTTCTTTATATCTATGGTCAGTAGTCTGGAAAAATCTATGTCTCTACCTTATCAAATCAATTTACCATTTCTAAGATCTTTATCACGTTTTTATCTCTCAGTTCCCTCTTCACTAAACAAATGTCTTTCCTGACATTTATAAACTCTCAGTACCAGAATCATCATCATAAATCTTTGTTGAACATTGTCCAGTGCTCTACGCCCTTTTCATAAAAGGAAACTGTTAACTGAGCTCCAAGTATAGTCGAGGTTCGGTACAGGTTAGCTTTACAATTCTGCACTCTGAAAATAACCTGAAGTAAGTCCCCAGAGGCTGGTGTCCACACTGTTCCCCAAGTCCAAAGACATAGACTGGTTATTTTTTTGTAGCTCCTCCTGGGACACTTTAGCACTGGGTCACTTTCCTCCAACTCTGCTTCCGATTCAGGTGTGAAACGCACTAGCTTGCCTCTTTCGCTTAGAGAATTTCAGACGAAATGCATTCTCCTCTTCAGGCAGCAAAGGTGTCAAGATAGGAACATCTGCTGCATCCATCTCAGATTCTGAGGTATCTTCAATGCTTGGTGAAGAGGGAGGTAACCCACAGGTTCCAGAACAGTCAGAAAGGCAGTCAAGGAGCTGGGCACATTTTGCTCCTGCACGTTCGTGAGTTTGCAGCTTCCATATGGTCCAGGTGCTTATTCAGGACTGTCACACCTACCTGAACTTTATATGTGACTGGACCTGACCTCGCGTCGACCATGCCTCTTACCAGGGCCATTCCCGTGGTTCCTACACCAAACTTCATCCCCTGAAGTAAACTGTCTATCTCACTTAACAAAGTATTCTATCCAGCATTGGTATTCCTATTTCCATTTCACTCTCCCTCCAGGTCCGGTGTGGAGTCTTCTCCCTATTAGCAACTCTGCTGGAGCTATTCCTGTAGTTGCCCCTGAGGGATAATTCTATAATCAAATAGGAACCGGACAGTTTGGTATCTAGTGAATCTGTTTCGTTAAGCCTGTCTTCAAAATTTGGACTGCTCTTTCTGTCAGACCATTGGATGATCGATGGTATGGAGCTGTCCTTATATGACAAATATGATTCAACTTTGGGAAATACTCAAATTCCCTGCTGGTAAACAATGGCCCATTATCTGTGACTACCACTTCCGGGAGTCTGTGTATTGCAAAAGATGCTCGCAGTTTTCTATCGTCGTTCCTGTGTTTGACAAATGAACCCTGTGCACGTCCAGCCACTTTGAGTGGGCGTCCACATGACTAAGAACATTCAGCCCATGAAAGGACCTGCATAGTCAACGTGTAACCAAATCCAAGGTTTAGCCAAATGTGGGGAAGCTGCTGGCGGTAATTTTTGTCTTTGTTGGCACTCTGGGCACTGCCCTACCAACACAACTATGTCTGCATCCCACTCTTGTCACAATTGAAATAACTCCACAGAGGCCAGTATCCCACCACCAAGTCATCCTTTATTTACATGTGGAGAGTCCTTACCACTGATTCATTAGAGCCAGCTCTCAGAGTAAACAGAACCTCTTACACAAAAACAGAAATTGCCTGAAAAGCACAGCAAGTCTGGCAGAATCTGTGAAGAGAGCTCAGAGTTAACTTTTCGGATCCGGTGACCCTTCCTCAAAACCTCTGACGCTCCTGTTTATATCTGTCAGTAAGGGTTTTCTGATTGGACCAGATTAACAGCCCCAATCGGAGAACTCATATTCTGTGAGGTCCACTTGGGTGACCTCATTACAATCACTACATAAACCTCCAGTGTCTGTTGCCTCAATTGGTGTAGTTTAAGAAATCAGGTCTGGCTTGGTGGTCTGTCCTAGGCCAGGATTGAGACTTGAGTAAAGTTGGGAGGGAACCTGTTTCTGGACCATGTTTGCGTTATTAACTTGCAGTGCTACTTTGGATGATTTGTTTATCTGTAACCCCCAACTATTCTCCCCACTCCCCCATCCAACCCCCCCCACCCTGTGTTCCCTGACTTCTGTATCCTCAATACACTTAACCCTAATAATTTGGATTCTTATTATTGACACAATATCTAGCTCCATATTCTTTCTACCAGAATGTAACATGTCTCAATTGCATGAATTGTTTGCATTTGCCAGTTTCACCCAGTTCACAACTTTACTAATTGCTTTCTATTTTGTTACAGTCTTTCTCCGTGGCTGACAATCCATAGTTTATTGTTAGTCTCATTTTTAGGTATTATCCTTCCAATTCCTGAATCCACTTGTGATGTGCAATGACTAGCCACAATCTCTGCAGAACTCCACTTTCCACTATTTGCAATTCTTCCAACAATCAAAATCTAAGAGAGCCAAATGGAATTTTAGGGTTGTAATCCACTAAAATAATTGATCACAAAGGATTGGTGAAGACTTGGGACCTCAGCCATTTAAAAGTTATAGTAAGGAGCCCTGAGGCTCTTTAGATGTTGGGTCTTAATGCAGTGATGAGATGTGAAGTGTCTTCCGATGAAGTGACTTCAAATTGCATCCTGCTAGTGGAGTGATGACACATGAAATGTCATTTAGGATTGTAATCTATGGATTGGAATGAGGGCTGGTTTGAGGGCTGGTGCATTCATTATGGGGTTAAGAAATCTGATCTGCCTTGGTGATTAGTGCCTGCGCCAGGTTTGAGGCCTGAATCTGTTGTTATGGGCTGCTTCCTGGGACATGTTCTAATTGGTAGGATTGGTGACCTAGAAAGTACCTACACCTGCCTCCACACTCAGTGAAGTTACTTGCCTTTGTGGTAGGCTGAAGCTCTAGATCATTTGTGCAGCTGCAGTTAACGCTTGCTGTCTCAGGGAAAATCAAGTTCATATGAAGACTTGAAATTAGCCTCTTATTATATTTGCATAATACCCTTGTGCAGTTAGGGTAAGCACTGCCTCTTTTCTATCCTCACCGATTTTCAACTTTCCAACAGCCATATTGACAGAAGTAATTCCTGAAAAATGTGGAGCTAGTCTGTGATTCTGCAATAATGCTGTGATGAATATCAATATCAAGTGCACTCTTTATTATTGACTTTGAAACACGAGTGTGTGATGCTAAACACACACACACATTTATGCCAGAGGCACAAATTGTATATGTCCACACTTTGGCATATTGTGATTGACAGCGGTCTTCCTTGAGTGCCCAGATGAACATTAACTGCTACCTAATTGTTCGTCATTGAAGCAGGTTTCAGAAACCTGCTCCTCTTGCTTTAGATTCCTAAAGAATTCCTAACATCAAATTACATCTTTAATATTACTCCTGTATGTGGAAGTAAGAGAAAAAAAATCCAAACCGTTTCTTCCTCTGTGTGAAAAACACAGCGAGTGCGACAGCAAGAGTGAGCAGGACGGCACATCCCATCCCCAGTCCCACCGCCAGGCCTGTGAGACAGAAGCATCAAGCCCAGATTAGTTCATCAGCTATAACCACGTCTCCCTGACTATGGTTCATAGCGGGAGCCACCTGGCCTCTCACTCACCTCCTAAGGGTGTAGCTGCCAGGGTTGGCATTCACTGCCTGTCACCCTGAGCCCCAGCTTCCCCCAAATATTCCCCACTTGCTCGATTATTTCTCATGGTAACTGATCATACATATTTTCTAATGACCACACCCCTACCGACCCCAGTGGCTGAAGCAAGTGACTCGCATAGTTCCACAGGGACCACAATATTTTCCCTGCACCTCAAGTAGGACATTGACAAGGTGGTGGTGTGAGAACATAGGTGGCAGATGAGTTTCAATGCAGAGAAGTGTGAGGTGATGCATTTTGGTAGGAAGAATATTGAAAGACAATACAAAATAGAGGTACAATTCCAAGGGGGGTGCAAGAGCAGAGGGACCTGGGTATATACGTAAACAGATCATTGAAAGTGGCAGGACAGTACAAGAGTAGCAAGTAGGGGGATAAAGTATAAGAACAAAGAGGTAAAACCTTAGCTGGAATACTGGGTACAGATGTAGGCACCACATTAAAGGGAGGATGTGAAAAGATTGGAGAGAGTGCAGAAGCAGTTTGCAAGAGTTGTTCCAGAGATGATAAACTACAGTTTCAGCTTGAGATTAGATTGTAATAGTTGGGACTGTTCTCCTTAAAGTGGAGAAAAATAAGAGGAGATTTGACAGACATTTTCAAAATCACGAACGGGCTGGATAGAGTGGAAAGAGAGAAACTGTTCCCACTCTTAAAAGGAAAACGAATGAAATGACATAGATTTAAAGTGATTTGCAAAAGAAGCAAAGGTACTATGAGAAAACCTTTTCCACTCAGTGAGTTGTTAGGGTACAGAATGCACTGCCTGGAAATGTGGTGGAGGCAAATTCAATTGAGGCATTCAAGAGGACAATGTGTGATTGTTTGGATAAAAATAATATGCAAGGATATTGGGGCGAAGAGAACACCTTAAGAGTACAGATAGGCAAAGGGATCTGGGTGTACAGATCACTGAAAGTGGCAACGCAGGTGGAGAAAGTAGTCAACAAGGCATATGGCATGCTTGCCTTCATCGGCTGGGACACTGAGTTTAAAAATTGGCGGGTAATGTTGCAGTTTTATAGAAACTTAGGCCGCATTTGGAATATTGTGTTCAATTCTGGTCGCCACACTACCAGAAGGATGTGATGGCTTTGGAGAAGGTCCAGAAAAGATTAACCAGGATGTTGCCTGGTATGGAGGGCATTAGCTATGAGGAGAGGTTGGAGAAAATTGGGTTGTTCTCACTGGAACAACAGAGGTTGAGGGACGAACTGATAGGATGGGAATAGAGGGATACGGTCCTCGGAAGGGTAGGGGGTTTTAGTTGTGACGGGCAGCATGTCGGTGGAGGGCTGAAGGGCGTGTTCCTGTGCTGTTCTTTGTTCTTTGGAAAGCAAGAGATAACATTAGATCATTATGCTCATTTAATGATCCAGTGCAGGTATTATGGGCCAAATGGCCTCTTGCACTGTAATACTGACTGTAATTCTGTAATTCCCACTGCCCATGGACAGTGAATGTCTTTCAGCAGTTCGTGTATGAGATGTTCCTGTCTTCTTTCAGTTTTGCCTTGCATAAGACTCATGTCACTGAGCTCTCGAGAATAGCACCCAGGAACCAATCCTTTCCCCTCTTTCATTCTATGGATGTGGAATATTGCCCACTGGCATCCCAATCCAGGATGGACTTGGGTCTTACCTTCTCGGTGTAACTGAATGTTATAGCCACAGGATCATTGAGACATCAAAGCTGTTGAAAATACCTGATACTGCTTTGCTGCACAATTCTACTGATGGTACTCATTCTCCCATTACTTACCTGGTTACAAGACCATTCTGCCCCTCAGACATCAGTTAGCTCAGTTGGCTGGTTTGCAATGCTGAGTGAAGCAAGCATCAAGGGGTCAAATCCAAAACAAGCAGAGATCACCCATGACAGGCCAGTCTTCTCAGTCTTCTGTACCCTCGCTCTATATCCTTTTTGCCACGTCTCTGATATCATCTATTCTCTTGTTCTATATTATCAATACATCACTCTATATTCTCTATACTTTTGTTCTATACCTTCTATACCCCTGCTGTATATCCTTAAACTCTTGGAGACAATAAGGACTGCAGATTCTGGAAGCCCGAATCTATAGGCGTGAGGCTAGAAAAGCACAGCAGGTCAGATAGCATCAGTGGAGCAGGAAAGTCCTAGGCCGAAACATTGACCTGCTGTGCTTTTCCAGCCTCCTCTATACCCTGGCTCTACATCTTGTATGTCATCACTCTAATATCCGCTGTTTTATATCTTCTACATCCTTGCTCTTATGTTCTTTATATCTCTGCTCTTATATCCATTCTCTCACTGCTCTATACCTTCACTCTGTATCCCCTACACTCCTGCTCTATACCTCCCATATTTTTGCTCTTATATTCACTATACCCCTGCTCTAAACCCTGACTCTATACCCCATACACCCGCTCTTATATCCTCTATGCCCTTACCTTATATCCTCTGTGCCCCACTCTATATCCTCTTTAGCCTTGCTCTACACCCTTTCTCTATAGCCTCATAGTGTACTCTTAAGTGGCAAAATGTATTAATCTCAGATATTATATTATTAATTAAGCGAACATCTACTTTTTGAGGGATAAAGAGTTCCCTAGTTTCTTTTCTGAAAGATCAGTTTAAGGAATACTGCAACAGTAGGCTCTGTATCCTAGACTCCATCATCAGCAGATAGCATTTCACTCTTCACCTTTTGATGCTATCGTTTCATTATAAATGCTTCAGTGAAGACAGTTGGTCCTGTCCCTGGAGTGGCTCAAAACCCAGCTTCCAACAATGTGGTGGGCACAATCCTCTTTACATTCTTAGTATCTTGACCTAATATCCTAAATTGGAACTATGTGTTCGTCAAACTCTCCCCAAAATAGAAGCAATAAACAATGACTGTAATTAAACTCAGAAACAAATACATCCAAGGGAGACTGAACAGTCATTTAGAACGAACCTTCATTCACTTCCGATTCATCATCATCTTGAACAGGTGGTCCTCCTGTCAAAAGGGCATCCAAACAGTCAATTAGACATGCACTCAGCAGTGTTGCTGCTCACAATGACTCCAGGCCTGTGCAATGAATAAAGATTAGCTTTGAACCTTGTTTCACAAATCCCTTTTTCTCCAATGTCAAATCGGAGATATTCCTGAATGATATATGAGGAGTCATTTTGGAAGTTTCACACGAGCTGCTTAAATTCCTGCTCTAAGCAGTTCCTTGCCTGGGGCACAGATATTTGTTCCCGAGATTTAATTGCAATTCAGGGGATAGTGTTGAAGACAAAAAGATAATTGTACAGTAGTTACGATCATCCGAATATAGACTGGGATAGCAGTACATTAAAGGGCAGAGAGGGAAAAGAGTTCCTAGAGTGTGTTAAGGAAACTTTTCACCAATAGTCTGATTCCTGTTGAGATGATATAATATATCATTATTTCGGAACTTGGGCTCAAAAGTGGAGGCAAAGCGGTTTGTAGTTTCTGCTCTGTGAAGGCCTGATTCTTTCAAAGTTCAGAAATTCAAATTTTGAATAGCGAGTTAAAACAGCATTTCCAATAAGTCATGTGACTACAGCTAAACCTGGGGACACTGGCTTGAGTTTTACAATCCAGAGAGAGGGAGAGAGACAAAGGGGGGGTGTGGTGGCAGAAGCACATTTGCAGGTTTATTCGGAGAGAAGATGACCTTACATTGGAACAGGAGTAAGCCATCGAGCTTGCTTTGCCATCCAATCGTGGTTGATTGGATAATTCATTGCCTTTTACACACACATTGTCAAATGCCTGTATGCCAATAGTAATCAAAAATCTAATAACATCTACCTTAAACGTATTCAAAGACAGAGCTTCCAAAGTTTTTTGGTACAGAATTCCAAAGGTTCACAAACATTTGAGTAAAAAATAAATTCTCCTCATTTCAGACTTAAGTACATCACCTTATTTTGAAATTGTGCCTCGCTTCTTGACTCCCTACTAGGCAAAAGATCTCACCTGCATCAAATTTGTCTAATCCTTTAAATACTTCATAAACTTCCATGGGATCACCTCTCATCAATCAAACCCCTAGGGAATTCAGACCGGGTTTGCCCAATCTTTCTTCAGAGGGAAGTCCCACAATCCTGGAAGAAGTCTGGGGAACTTTGTTGTACTCCCTCCATGCCAATAATATCCAGCGACAGTCTATCCAAGCTCCTAGACAATGGAAGTCAAACTTTACTACTCCTGTACTCAAATTGTCTTGTACTAAAGTTAGCTGTTAGCCTTCCTAATAACTTGCTGCACCTGCCTGTTAGCCTTCAGTGACAATTGACAAGAACACCCAGGTCCCTTTATACATCACCATTTAAGAAGTGCTCTGCACATCTGTTCCCTTCTACCAAAGTGGCTAACCTCACATTTTCCACATTATATTCCATCTGCTATATTCTTGCCCAGTCACGAAGTCTGTCCTTTACATCTTCTTCACAACATAGATTCCACTTAGCTTTGTATCATTGAAAATTTGAAAATATTACACTTGTTCTCCATCTCCAAATCACTGATAAATATTGTGAACAACTGGGACCCAAGTACTGATCCAACAGATATCCTAGTAGTCATTAGACAACAACAAAAGGGGTGGCACGGTGGCTCAGTGGTTAGCACTGCTGCCTCACAGCACCAGGGACCCAGGTTTGATTCCACCCTTGGGTGACTGTCTGTGTGGGGAGAGTTTGACGAACACATTCTCCCCATGTCTGCGTGGGTTTCCTCCAGGTGCTTTGGTTTCCTCCCACAGCCCAAAGATGTGCAGGGTAGGTGGATTGGCTGTGCTAAATTGCCTGTAGTGTTCAGGGATGTGTAGAGTAAGCGGGTTACAAGGGAATGGGTCTGGGTGGGATGCTCTGAGGTTCGGTGTGGACTGGCTGAAGGGTCTGTTTCCACAATGTGGGGATTCTATGACTTCTATGAAAAGAATGACACATTTATTCCAACTCTGTTTCTGTCTGCTTGACAATTATTAGTCCATGTGAGGGCATTACCTACAATCCCATGCGTCATAGAGTCCTACAGCATGGAAACAGACCCTTTGGTCTAACTATCCAGGCTGACCATTCAGCTGCATTTGGCCTATATCCCTCTAAACCCTTCCTATCCATGCACCTGTCTGAATGTCATTTAAATGTTGTAATTGTACCCACCTCTACCACTTCCTCTGGCAGCTCATTCCATATGTGTAATCCTCTGTCTGAAAAAGTTGCCCCTCAGGTCACTTTTAAATCTTTTCCCTCTCACTTTAAAGCTATGTTCTAGTTCTGGACTTCCCTGCCCTGGGGAAAAGACCTTTGATATTCACTTTATCTATGCTCCTCATGATTTTGTAAACCACTTTAAGATTAGCCTTCTACACTCCAGGGAAAAAGAGTCTCAGCCTATCCAGCCTTTCCTTATAACTCAAGCTTTCCAGTCTTGGTACCATCCTTGTAATTTTTTTTACATCCTTTCCAGTTTAATGACATCTTTCCTATAGCAGGGTGACTAGAATTATACGTAGTTCTCCGAATGTGGCCTTACCAATGTCTTGTACAACTGCAACATGATGACCCAACTCCTGAACGAATGCGCTGAGCAATGAAGGCAAGCGTGCCAAATGCCTTCTACACCACCCTGTCTACATCTGACACCACTTTCAAGGAATGATGTACCTGCACCCCTAAGTTTCTCTGTTCGTCAACATTCCTTAGAGCCCTACCATTAATTGTGTAACTTCCTGCCCTGATTTGTTTTACCAAAATGCAACACCTCGCATTTATCAAAAATAAACTCCATCTGCCATTCGTCAGGCAACTGAGCCAGTTGGTCAAGATTCCATTGTACTCTTAAAGAACCCCCTTCTCTGTTGACTGTACCAATAATTTTGGTGTCATCTGCAAACTTACTAAGCATACCTTCTATATTCTCATCCAATCGTTTACATAAATGACAAACAATAGGGTACTCAGCACTGATCTTTGTGGCACACCGTTTGTCACAGGCCTCCAGTCTGAGCAACAGCCCTCTACCATCACCCTCTGCCTCCTACCATCAAGCCAATAATGTATCCAATTGGCTAGCTCTCCCTGGATCCCAAGTCATCTAATCGTATTAACCAGGCTATCATGTGGAACTTTGTCAAAGGTCTTACTAAAGCCCACATAGACAACATCTATCACTCTGCCTTCATATACTTTCTTGGTCACCTATTCAAAAAACTCAATCAAGTTTGTGCAGCACAATATCTTGCACACAAAGCCATGTTGACTATCCCTAATAAGTCCTTTGCCTTTCCAAATGCACATAAACCCTATTCCTCAGAAACTCTTCCAACAACTTACAAACTACTGACATAAGGCTTACCGGTCTATAGTTCCCTGGCTTTTCCTTACTGCTTTTCTTAAATAATGGCACAACAGTAGATGCCCTCCAGTCTTCGGGCACCTCACTCATAGCTATCGATGATACAAATATCTCTGCTAGGGGCCCTGCAACTTCTTCTCTTAACTTCTCACAATGTCCTGGAATACACTTGATTAGGTTACGGGGATTTACATAGAACATAGAACAGTACAGCACGGCACAGGTCCTTCAACCCACGATGTTGTGACGACCTATTATCCTACTAAGATCAAACTACCCTGCATACCCTACATTTTACTATCCTCCATGTGCCTATCCAAGAATCACTTAAAAGTCCCTAAAGTATCTGACTCCACTACCACTGCCGGCAGCGCATTCCACACGCCCACCACTCTCTGACTAAAGAACCTACCTCTGACACCTCCCCTATACCTTCCTCCAATCGTCTTAAAATTATGTCCCATCGTAATAGTCATTTCTGCCCTGGGAAAAAGTCTCTGATGATCCACTCTATCTATGCCTCTCATCATCTTGTTTACCTCTATCAAGTCACGTCTCATCCTTCTTCGCTCCAACGAAAAAAGCCTTAGCTCCCTCAACATTTCCTCATAAGACCTGCCCTCCAGTCCAGGCAGCATCCTGGTAAATCTCCTCTGCACCCTCTCTAAAGCTTCCACATCTTTCCTATAATGAGGTGACCAGAACTGAACACAATATTCCAAGTGTGGTCGAACCAGAGTTTTAGAGCTGTAGCATAACCTCGCAGCTCTTAAACTCAATTTCCCTGCCAATGAAAGCCAACACACCATACGCCTTCTTTACAACCCTATCAACTTGGGTAGCAACTTTGAGGGATCTATGGACTTGGACCCCAAGATCCCTCTGTTCCTCCACACTGCCGAGAATCCTACCATTAACCCTGTATTCTGCATTCAAATTCGACCTTCCAAAATGAATCACTTCACACTTTTCTGGGTTGACTTCCATCTGCCACTTCTTTGCCCAGCTCTGCATCCACGTCCCGTTGCAACCTACAACAGCCCTCCACGCTGTCCACAACTCCATCAACCTTCGTGTCATTGGCAAACTTACTAACCCAGCCTTCCACTTCCTCATCCAAGTCATTTATAAAGATCACAAAGAGCAGAGGTCCCAGAACAGATCCCTGTGGAGCACCACTGGTCACTGAGCTCCAGGCTGAATACTTTCCATCTACTACCACCCTCTGTCTTCTATTGGACAGCCAGTTTTGTATCCAGACAGCCAAATTTCCCTGAATCCCATGCCTCCTTACTTTCTGAATGAGCCTACCATGTGGAACCTTATCAAATGCCTTGCTAAAATCCATATACACCTCATCCACTGCTCTACCTTCATTGATGTGTTTTGTCACATCCTCAAAGAATTCAATAAGGCTTGTGAGACATGACCTGCCCCTCACAAAGCCATGCTGACTATTTCTAATCAAATTGTGCTTTTCCAAATAATCATAAATACTATCTCTCAGAATCCTCTCCAATAATTTGCCCACCACAGAAGTAAGACTGACTGGTCTGTAATTCTCAGGATTATCCCTATTCTCTTTCTTGAACAAAGGAATGACATTTGCCATCCTCCAATCATCCTTTATGTGTTTTAAGACTTCCAACACTGTCTCCTCTGTAATTTGGACTCTTTTCAAGACATCACTATTTATTTCCCCAAGTTCCCTAGCTTCTATATCTTTCTCCACAGTAAATACTAGTGCAAAATATTCGTTTAAAATCTCACCCATCTCTTCTGGTCCACTCAGCCTTGTTGGTCTTTAAAGGGCCCTATTCTCTCCCTTGTAACTCTTTTGCCTTAGAATCTCTTTGGATTCAACTTTAACCTATTTGCCAAAGCTACCTCATGTTCCCTTTTCACCCTCCTGATTTCCCTTTTAAGTGTACTCCTATTCTTTTTATATTCCTCAAGGGCATTTGATCCCAGCTGCCTATATCTGACATAAGCCTCCTTCTTTTTCTTGACCAGAGTCTTTAGATCTCTAGACATCCGGTGTTCCCTGCCCCTGCCAGCCTTACCCGTCACACTAACAGGAACATGCTGGTCCTGAGCTCTTGTTATCTCACTTTTGAAAATCTCCCACTTGCCAGACATCACTTTACCTGTGAACAGCCTCCCCCAATCAACTCTTGAAACTTCTTGTCTAATACCATCAAAATTGGCCTCGGCCCATTTTAGAACTTTAACTTGTAGATCACACCTATCCTTTTCCATAACTATTTTAAAACTAATAGAATTATGGTCACTGGTCGCAAATGCTCCCCCACTAAACACCTCAGTCACTTGGTCTGTCTTATTTCTCAAAAGGAGGTTGAGTTTTGCTCCTTCTGTCATAGAGCCATCTACATATTGATTGAGAAAGTTTTCTTGAACATGTTTAACAAATTCCTCCCCATGCAAATCCTTAAAACCCTGGCAGTCCCAGTCTATGTTTGGAAAGTTAAAATCCCCAACTATTACAACACTACTATTCTTACATCCATCTGTAATCTCCTTACATACTTGCTCCTCAATTCCCACTGACTATTGGGGGTGCTACAATACAGTCCCATCAAAGTGACCACCCCTTCTTATTTTTCAATTCTACTCATATAGCTCCACTGGATGATCCCTCAGGAATATCCCATCTAAGTACTGCCGTGATGTTTTTCCTAATCAAAAATGCCGCTCCCTGCTCTCGCCTCCCCTTCTATCCTTCCTATAGCACTTGTACCGTGGAACATCGATCTGTCGGTCTTGTCCCTCCCTTATCATGTTTAATAGCTATGGTATCCCAGTCCCATGTTCCTATCCACTCCTGAGTTCATCTACCTTATCTGTCAGGCATCTTGCATTGAAATAAATGAAGTTTAATTCATCAGTCTTCCCTCGTTCCCTTCCATGCCCTTGCCTGCCTTGTCTATTTAACTTACTTTCTTTAACTTCTGTACCAGCCTCAACCTTGTCTCTTGTCCTACTCCTGCCTAAGTTCCCACAGTCCTGCCAGACTAGTTTAAACCCTCCTGGGTAGCTGTCATAAGTCTCACCCGCAGGACATTGGTCCCCGTCCAGTTCAGGTGCAACCTGGCCCTCTTGTACAGGTCACTTCTACCCCAGAAGAGATCTCAATGATCCAAAAATCTGAATCCCTGCCCCCAGAAAAGGCTCCACTGCAAAAATGTGCAACGGTAGCATACTCTGAAATATTAAGACTCGGGAAATGTTCTGAGAGACAGTAGATACTGCTAATTTTTGGGGTTAGGATTCTGAAAAGGCCTGGGTGCTGAAGGTATCAGAAAACCTCTATGCTGTTCATCGCTCAGTGCATATGAGAGTGAGCGTGAAGAAGGCACAAAGCAACATTTTCTTCTGCAGCTGTAAAACTTTCATGCTAAGAGGAACTGGGGGCTTTAGGAATGTGGTGAAGATAGCTGGCTGTGACAAAGTTGGAATTGATTCTGCAAGTATGTGTTGGAATGCAGTTTTAAGAATTCAGGGCAGTGTAGAAGCAGGAAGGAATGTGAAGTGTCAGGACGTGAGTAGTCATTGCAGCAATCTGTGATAAATTGGCTTTTGAGGAGGCTCCAAAGATATGTCTTTGAAAGAGAAGAAATTGGAATCCCTTGTGAAGTTTTAATGAAATCTGATGACCCGTAGAGTTATCACTAATGTCTTGTGAGGGGGTGGAGTGGTGGAGAATGGTGATGAGAAAACCCATTTATCACATTTATCATTTGATGTGCACTGTAAGATGTTTGACCACAGCTTGTCTCTCACCTGTATTTACTTCAGGTTAATGATGGATATTAGAATATGAATTGTCTGGATTGCAGATTGCATTACCTTTCTAACTTTGCATTGTCAAATTTATAATTATTTGTTCAAAACCATGGAATCTTGTGGCTTTATTCCCTTAATAAGTCCATGGGATCATTCATTTAGTCTACTTTTAAAAAAGCTCATGGTCCAAGCTAGTTAGTAACTTAACTTTAGTGATCTGGTCCAGGATCATATCAAGGGCAATGGGCAGAAGGTGGGGGAGTGGCACTAGGTGAATTGCTCCTTCAGAGAGCCAGTACAGACACAATGGGAAGCATGCCTCCTTCTAGCTGTACCCATTCTACGATTTCATTATGTTTTTACCAAAGCCTGAAAATAAAAATGCAATGATCAGTAAAAATAACCATGAAGTGAAAAAAAAACAGACTGTTGATATCCTTCTGGAGAGGATGTGACAAATTATGTAGTTTGGTCTACTTGTGACCCCTGTTTCACACCAATATGCTTGCCTTACCAGTGACATTCCATGTTGTAAGACTGAATAAGGTCTCAATATATGCTGTATTTCTATCAGGTCCTTTCTCAAATGCCTCCTTTGAAAGATGGTCCCCAGTCGCTCCGTCATAACTCAATCTTTCCACAAGAGGGTCATGGTTCCTTTCTGGCCTCACAGATCCTTTTATTCTCAGTGACCGGAATGGCACTGTGTGGGGTACACCAGCCATTGTGTACATGGTGTTGCATGTGACTTTTTCTAAACGCATCCAACTATAGGATTGACAATGCATTGACAATTTTTTGTTGCACCTCAGTGATTTGACTCTCAGTCCCTGTGTTTCTCTGTTTCTACCACCTCCATCATTACCTATTCCCCCTGGGATTTCTTGTCTTACTACAATGTGTGTGGGAAATGGATCTGAAAATGCTCCAGCAGCGTGTGCAGCTGTAAGAGAGTGGACAGAGGGCAACAGCCTCAACATTGTGAGCTGGCGAGAGAGGAGGGTGGCTTCATGTCACAGTAGATGAATGGGGTAGATGAGTCACAAGTGATAAATTAACCCATTAAGTTTGACTCTAGTGTCATATAGAAAGCCTCCAATGAAAATAGACCTTACCCATTTTACTGGCACAATGTGAATTGCAAGCAGAAAGGAAGAAGAACCTGTTTCCATTTCCTCCACATCCTCCATACAAGAAGGTTTTACATTTCTTCTTTGCATTGTCAAAGTAATAAAGCAACAAACGTCCTTTACAATCTCCTGGGTCCTTTGGCAGCAAGCAAGCCTGGGCTGTTGAAAAATTACAGGAGACGACCCATCAGTAAAACCCATCTTGATCACATTGGGCTATGTAACATGTTTAATTACTGTAATAACTCTGGAGCTTAACTGGAAAGCAACATCAGTTATAGTTGAACGCCAAAATAGAGCCACTACTTGTGAAATAGATAGGCTAATCCCAGCCTGGGACTGACAGTTCTGCAGACCCATCCTTGGTCTGCTTCATTTTTTTTTCCTAACTTTATATCCAGAAGTATTATCACCCGTAACCAAATAGTTTGTTTCCCATCACCAAATCACCGTGACAATTTCTTTGTTTTTAACTACTAACCACTATCAGTAAATCACTTGTGTAGACAACTGAATATTTACATGCAAAGCCCATTACCTCCAATGCAAACCAGCAGAAAGTGGTTGGGGGAGGGGGCTAAATCAAAATGGAGTTGGAAGGTGAGATAAAGCAATCTAACCCCCTGCACTGCCCACCTCTCTCTAAAGGCATGGAGGGTATCAGTGAGCATCACATGCTCCCTCTCCAAGGACACTAGGCCACGAATGTAGCCATGGAAGAGCAGCAAGCAGTCAGCAGAAATGACACCCCAATCATCTTTTACTTTTTTTAATCAACTGTTCAGAGATGTTATTACAAACCTCTGGAACAGGTGGGGCTTGAATCTAGGCCTCTTGGCTCAAAGCTAGGGACACTGCCAGTGTACTACAGGAACCCATCATTGGGTCTGCTTTATAGATATTGTCTAACCATCCTGTTCAGAGATATTATTATACACCTCTGACTGGAGGGGTTGAACCCAGGTCTCCTGGTCCAGAGGCAGGGATCTTACCACTGTGCTACTAAATTGGGTATGCTTTTTATTATTTTCTAATCAACTTGTTCAGAGACGTTATTACACACCTCTGTAAGAAGTGGGACCTGAAGCCAGGCCTCCTGGCTTAGAGGTAAGGACACTACCACTGTGCCACAAGAACTTCTTTAGGTCGGTTTTTTTTTAAATTTAACCCCTTTTTGTAATCAATCTGTTCAGAGATGTTATTAAACATCTCTGGAGCAGATAGAACATGAACCCAGGTCTCTCGGTTCAGAGGTAGGGATACTACCACTGCATTGTAAGAGCTCCTTTGGGTCTGCTTTATAAAGGGGTCAGGTGATGAGTTCCGTTTGGTAGGCCATTAATGTCACCGAGAGACTCAACGAGCTCCATCGGGGGATTAATTAGTGACTCCCCATGAGCCTTGTAGGGGTTATCACCACTTATGAATATATGAGCAAGGAACATGAGTAGGTCACCTGGCCCATCGAGCTTGCTCTGCTGTTCTCAGCAGATTTGGTTTTAACCTCAACTCTATATTCCTGCCATCTCTAATAATCTTTCATCCCCTTGGTAATCACTTTTACACTAATCAAAACACATTATCACCCATTCTGAAGCTGAACAACAACTGAAATCAGACCGGACTGAAACTCAAACAAGACAATAATAAATTCACACTGCTAAAATTTCTTTACAAATATGCTCAATGGGTTGAAAGTTGAAACTAGATGTTAATTCTCAGCAAACATTTAAATGTAGTTTCTTGAGATTACTTTCACATCATACAAGTATAGAATACAGCTATGACACGTCTTCCCAATTACTGTAAGGTTTAGATCCTGTTAGAACACAGATCCTGTAAGTGATAGAGCACAGACAAACAGAATGAATACAATTTATCTATAAGATATTGTTATACCTGTCTGTGCGGTACCCACGACTGCCCCAAGTGTTGAGGTGGAGATAATGAATATTTCAGGCAGTGGATAGGGTGTCAAACAAGTAAGCTGAAACAAAAACACAAATTTCTGGAGAAACTCAGCAGGTCTGGCAGTATTTGTGGAGAGAAAATTGACTTAATAGTGAGGTGGTTAGGGTGGGTGAGGTAGTTAGGGTGGCCTAAACTGCTGAGTGAGTTAGAGCAGGAGTAGGCCATTCATCCTGTTCTATTGTTCAATAGGATTACGGTTGATCTGATCATAACCTCAAATCCACATTCCTGCTTACCTCTGATAACCTTTCTTCACTTTACTTCCGAAAGCTCTACCTACCTCTGCTTTCCTAACATTCAAGAAGAGAACTGAATTGAATTGAAATTGAATTAGCTTTACTGTCACGTGAACTCGAATGAGTGCAGTGAAAAGTTTAAAATGTTACTGCTTATGGCGCCATCTTGGGCACAAATACTTTTGTAGTTGTTACAGATTTGAAAGAATAACAAGTAAAAGTCCAGCATGAGACTAAAAAGTTTTTTAAAAAAGTACTTGAATTACAGTCCTTTTCACTAAGTCTGTGCCAACACTGAGCCTCCAGATTGCATTGGGTCAAGTCTCAAGGCTCCTCGGGGCTTCAAAACTGAGGCCTCGTTTCTAGTCGGTAAGGGCCTCACCTCCCACAACGGTCTCCTGTCTGGGACCTGTCTCCCTGCACCGGTCACCGCTCTGGGACCTGTCTCCCCACACAGGTCTCCGATCTGCGGCCGGTCTCCCTGCACAAGTCACCGCTCTGAGATCTGTCTCCCTGTGCCGTTCTCTGCTCTGGGACATGTCTCGCTGCATCGGTCTCCTGTCTGGGACCTGTCTCCC